CCTGTGGAACGTGTTCCAGAGGTGAGCCCGAGGGCCGCAGCGGGAACGGGGAGTGCCGGAAGCGGGTCGGCTGCCGCGGCAGTCCGGGCACCGCGGGGTTTGGCTGCCGGGGCGCCGGGCAGCGCTGTAAACATCGCGGTGGTTTCCCCGTGGGAGGAATCTGTGGTAAAGGGTTGAGGAGGAATAAACGTGGCTGTATTTTGTAAAGGGGGTAAAGGGGATTGATGGGAGCCAGAAGGTAACCTTGAAAGCGCTGGAGTAATTTTTAACCTGAGACTGCGGAAAGGACAGTGAAGTCTGGAGGGTCAGTGTAGCGCTACAGGGCAGGCTTGTAAAAAGGAATCTGATAAATGTTAAAGGAAGACTCTTAAAGACAACGAGGAGACACAGCTGCACCAGGGGACGTTTAGATTGGATATCGGGAAGAATTTCTTCTCAGCAGGGGTGACTGGACATCGGAATGGGCTGCCCAGGGAGGTGGTGGAGTCAGCGTCCCTGGAGGTGTTGAAGGGAAGACGGGACGTGGCACTCAGTGCCATGGGCTGGTTGACTCGGTGGTGTTGGGTCATAGGTTGGACCTGATGAGCTCAGAGGCCTTTTCCGATCTGAATGATTCCGTGAAGTATTCTCTTGAGTTCACCTGGAGCAGAGGGACCTGCAAGGGAGTTAGCAAGCTTGTGCTAAACAGACTGGCAAGATCCTATCAGTGAAGAAGCCAGAGGAGATTTCCCAATTATGTCACGTTGAGGAAACTGGGGAGGTGCCTACGTTGGGTCCATTTTTATGGGAGATGAGTCAAGACAGATCCTCTGACACAAGCAGCAGCAAGAAGAGGTTAAGCAGTAGACAAACAGTACTAAGTTTCTAAAACTGGCTGATATTTACGGAGTGACTCAGGAATGCAGCAGCTTACCTACCCAGCCTACTGTAAAAACTTCCTCAGGACTCGGCAGAGACATGCATGAAGCCATTTCTCTTTTTAAAGGGCTCAGAAAGAAACAGATCAACAAGCTGACTTCTGCACCAGGAAAATCAGGAAAAAAAAAAATAAATTAAATAATGTAGTTAGGAGAGTTGAATGGGTTTTGTTGAAAATATTTTTTCTGGCAGACTGCTATGTAAATCCTGGACTGTGTTTGGTAAGGATTGGATATGGATATAATGGCTAGAATTGGAGCAATTCATATAATTTATATGCTTTTCACAAATCCTCCTGACACTATCAAAAGGCCCTTGAAGAAATTCCATAAATGTGGAATGAATGGAAGCCTTCTTCAGTGGATGGAAAACTGACTGAAGGGTGTGTGTGTGTGGTCATGCGCCACACTGACAGATGGAGCTCTCCTGGGATCTTTATGTAATCTGTTTGGAAGCAGCTGGGAAAAAGAGAGTAAGTTTAGATTGGATGGTGGGAAGAAGTTTTATACTGTGGGCGTGGTGAGGCACTGGAACAGATTGCCCAGAGAAGCTCTGGCTGCCCCATCCCTGGAAGTGTTTAAGGCCAGGCTGGATGGAACTCTGAGCCATCTGGTGTAATTGAAGGTGTCCCTGCCCACAGCTGAGGGGTTGGAACTTGATGATCTTTAAGGTCCCTTTCAACCCAAACCATCCTGTGGTTCTGTGATTCTGTGAAAAGAGGGTGAATGGTCAGGAGAGATTTGCTGATTCCTGCAGTAACTGAGGCCTGTGAAAGTTTGCAGGAGCACCTTACAGTCCTGAATGACTGGGCTGTGTCAGCTTGTCATGGCCAGATCATGATCCCTGTATGACAGGTGATCCCTATATGTCAGGTAGAATCCAGAGTAGGAATCTGTTGTCCATGAAGAAAACCCATTCTAATTTTGCATAATTTTGTTTATAAAAGGAATGTGCTGACTGATGATGCTCAGGAGCAAGATAAGTAGGTCATAATGCATTTTCCTGCAAATACCAGCTTAGCACTTGGTAGCAGCTCATAAAAGGTAAAAAATGTTCACATTTACTAAGTACTATTTGCAAGTACTAAGACAAGAAACTGAGATTAAAAAGGGGAAATATCTATTTGTAATTGAAATCTTTGCAATTTATGCCTGCAGTTTTAGTATTGCATGCAGGTTACATAATTCTTGGAGATGAGGAAGGAAGCAACAGAATGAACTGGAAGTGTTTAGAAAAAGGCAGCAAGAACTAAAGGAAATCAGCTTCTGTGAACAGGGATGAACTCTGCTTTGGAGTTGTAATAAATGAGGGGAAATGAAAACAGTGAAATGGAAACGTCCTTGTATGAAATGGAGGGAAGTCCCCACCACTTTCAGACACCCTTCTAAAGGCATGATCATTCTTTATTTGTACAGAAATTATTTAATTCATTAATTTTGGTATAGAACTTGAATCATTAAGACAGTGGACTGTGAAGGCTCAATGGAAGCTGGAAACTGCCTGTGCTTTTTCCCCTTTGAACCCCTTTGCAGGGTCAAGGCCCCACATTCAATTGAGTCTTTTGGTACTTTGGTCACATTAGTGACTTTCTCTCCACAGACAACACGTGAGGGAGTCTGGGTGACAAACCTGTTGCTCCAGTTTGCGAAACAAATAGCTTACTACTGTGGCATTAGGCATTCTGGGGATATAACCAGCATGTGTGCTCTGCAGTTCTCTTAAACAGAAATAAATAAAAATACTTTCTTGTGCAGAGCATACCCAAAACTGTTCAATTGTCAGTGTGTGTTTCTGTGTGTCTCTTCACTCATAAGCAAGTCTTGCAGTTTTCTTTGGAGCTTTTGTCATGTTCCAGAGATTTTTCAGGAAAATAGTAATATCATCTGGTGAGTAAGAACCAGAATGTTGAAGTCTTCAGTAAGTGGAACCTATTAGTTTCAGCCATATAAAGCTTACTACCTTATTTTGTGTTGTTGTTTCTCTTTTTTTCCCAGAGTTGATAAAGACAGGAGTGGAATAATATCTGATAATGAACTTCAACAGGCATTATCCAATGGTAAGTCTGTAAAGGAGCAGCGAGATAGTTCATTGTGAACTTCATGATAAATTTGTTGTGAGAGTGTGGTTACTTGAGCCATCATTCTTTGTATGGAAGGGAGTGGGAAGTGTTCCTACCACTCACTAATTTCTATTTAATCTACAGCAAAAGGCTGGGAAAGGAAAAAAATAACAATCTTTGTGATTTTTTGTTTGTTTGTTTTAAACTAAGTATCTATTGTAACTATTAGTGGTCTGTATTCTGAAGAATGAGGGCGTGCACATTCCTTTATTTTTCTCCCAGCTCTGCTTCCTAGAAATCATAACCAGTGATTCATATATTCTTTGCTCATCACTACTGAAGCCTTTTTTTTTTTAACCAGTATCAGTGTATGACCTGGGCCAATCCGTTTACCAGCCTTTTCATTGTGAATCATTTATTCTTCATACAGTATGGTGCAGGAAGTAAAGTATGTTTGAGGTTTTTCCTAACAGAGTAGAAGGATGCACCCTAGATCTAGTATTAAAACTTTCTAGCAGTCTGTCAGTTCCTTGTTGTAATACTCAAAGAATAACTAGGGTATTGTTAAATAACTCAGGGAAACAAAATTAAAAAAAAAAAATGAATCATTTTTCCATAGCCTATTTTTACTTTTCTACCATGACTCAGGATGGGTAGGGTTGTACTCTGTGGGGTTTTTTTCTGTTTGGAAATCTGAAAAAGGGCATATTCAGGCTGTTTGTCTGCCTTTGAGTCCACACCAAGTTCCCCTTGTCCCAGAGTTTATTCCTTTATCCCTCCTGTGCTTTGTGACTGAGAAGGGCTAAAACTGATGTTGTGAACTGCAGCACACACAGGCTGAAGGGCCCATTTTTGTCAGTAATTGCCTAATTTGAAATAAATGTATAAAGTTCTATTCAGTAAAACTGCAGTCTTGTAACTGAAGTGGATTTACTAGAAGATTTGTTTAATAATGTATCTTATAAATTAAAAGCAATGTGTTGTGGCTGCCAGACCTGATCCATAATCAAAATTTTGAATAAAATCTTCAGCAAAAAGTAAGTTAAATTAAGTCATCATTTTCGTTTAGATTACAGTGCTGTTTAGAACTGTGAGAAACTGTAATTTTAAATTGTACCTGCTGTTTTAGATTTTATATATTTTAAATAACTTCTTATATGAACCTGCCATTTTTTATTTTACTTATTTTAAATATCTCCTCATATGATTGAATTTAAGGGTACTAGGCAGTGATGACTATCTGAGCTCCTTTCTTTCCTTATTTACAGTGTAGATTAGCAGTTTCAGTGCTTTGCAGTTATGAAGAATGCCTACCAAGTGTTAGACAAAATATTTACAGAACTGTAAGCTCCTTGCATTCCAAGAGATTCTAGACCTTGTACACCAAAGTCACTAACAATTCACTATATTATTTTCAAAATACATCCTTGAGTGGGTGATTGTGCATGGCTGTCCTGCAATTTAACATGGGCTAAAATAATGTTATATGTTTATTTCTAAAACATTTTAAAAGTCTGCATCATGCTTATTGACATTTGAAGTTCAGTGTGGTTTTTAACAATTTGACATTTTCAACCTGTTTATGCGGAAAAGAGTGTGCTTACCTGGGAGGGGCTCATCATCATTTTGTCTGTTTGCACAATAAAATCCTTCATTTCCTTCTTGTTTTCTTCTGTGCTGCTGTGGGAAGTTAATACTAGAGTCAGGAGAGGAGAGACAGGGACAGTCTTCACTGTTTATTGGAATAGGTTGAAGTCAATGCAGTTCTTCACCTCTGGAGTTGCTCAGATTTCACTCTGTGATGGCTGTGTGAGTCACTTGAATATTTCAAGATGAAATAAGTTAAAGACTGTGTTTTTGCATTTTCCTCTTGTTCTGTTCAGTGTTAAATACTGGTGCCTTATTAAATCCACTATTTTTCTGAAGAGGCACACAGCTCTAAGGTACTGATATTCTCTGTCTAAAATACTGCTTCAGCATTTTCAGAGCCATTTGTCCTCTCCTCTTTCTCTGCTTACGTTTCTCTTTATGTGCAAATAGCCACAGGGCCTGCCTACAGTGCAGGGCTCTCCCTGTAGAGTTACACCACTGCCGGTGACCCTGCAAAGCCAAGGTGCCAGATCCCAGCTCAGCCCTTCTGCTGGGATTTGTGGTCAGCTGACACACACATCCCTGGGAGCGCCTCTGCAGTGCCCTCGGCTCACTGACTCCCTGGGTCCGTGCAGGCAACCGCAGCCGGTTAATTACGTGCTGCTTCATCCTCCTGGTTCCTTCACAGGCGCTGGAGAATCGATGGTGAAACTCTAGATAAGGCACAAGATTCATCTTTGTTTAAAGCTTAGTCCTTCCTAGCATTTGGGAATGCTCTCAACCAAGTGAAAACTATTTCATAATGACAAGCCTCTGAATACTCAGAGAAGTACAGAGCTCCTCTCCAGATAATTACTGCTCAGGCCCTTTCAAGCAGCAACATTTTTTGGTCTAAAAATACTAACTCAAACTAACACTTAATTGTTTTAGCGGTGGAGTTGGGATTTGTACTAAACAACTCTAAACTGCTATGTATGGTTATGCAATGTTGGGAACCCTTTCTTTTTACTTCTGTCTGAAGCTAAATGCCCTGGAGTAGTCCTGTAAAAAGGAAATGAGCAGATGTTTTTTTACTGAGGAACAGATACGAGGCCTTGATTGAGTTACAATTTAGAACACTTTTGCTCCTGTCAGTAGAAAGTACTTCAGTTTAGATCTTGCCTTTTATCCAATACTTCCTGACAGCCTGGGATGAAAATGTCCTTCTTTGATCTTCCAAGGTTTGTTACGTTTTTTTGCAGCCTTAAAAGTGCTGGTTTCTCTGCAGTATTTGTAAAGCACTGATTTGAAGTCATCTCTGAATGGTGAGACTTCCTTATTTCCAAGCAGCCTTATTTTTTAATATGCCAGCTCCATGTCACATAGCTCTGAATTCAATGTTCTTAACTGATTTGTTTGTTTGGTTTGTTGCCTTTTTTTAAAACATTGAGGAATTCTTAATTCTCAGCTAAGTAATTCTTTGTGTTTCAGGCACATGGACTCCATTTAATCCAGCAACAGTCAGGTCAATTCTTGGTGAGTGTGGTGTGACATAGTCCTAAGATACTGTTTTGTGATCTGTTCAGATGATTGAGAATGCTCTCAATTGCTACACTGGTTTTATTTTCCCTCTGAGTGCTCAGCAGTAGTAAAATTATTTTCCCTTTTGATTAAGAGAGAAATGCCCTTTGCATATACACATGTGCACTTGTCAAAGTAGCCTGAGAAAATGTTACTGCATAATTGATTAGATAATAAATGTAATTTATGTATGAGAAGATTTGTTACTTTAAATTTTCTAAAAAGATATGACATGAATTGTCTTGGGAAGTAGTTTTTCCTGTCTTGAATTTAAGCTTATGTTTTACTCCAAAAATACCAAACAGAAGCTTTACAATGCTTGAATTCTGTTAGTGTCTAAACTAATTGCCGGTAATGTGGAAGGTGATGGTGGTAGAAGGATGAAGATTTAATCACAAATCAAATCTTTTCTATCACATAGTTCATAAATCCAAGGACTACATTGTTTGCTTTGTTTTAAATAAGTGTTCAGCAGCAGTCTGAGTTCCATCACTGGGTGACATTGTATAAAGAGAACAGTATCAGTAAGTCAAATGCAGATGAACATCCCAGCACTCTTGGAAATTATGTAAGACTTTTTAATGTGTCCTTAGAAAGGAACAGTTCACCCCTCTGTCCATTTTGATTTATCACTGGATGATCAATCAAGCCCACAGTATTTTAGAACTGAAAATTAAAAGCGAATTTAAATTAAAACTGAAAATTAAATTTTATTTATTAAAAATAAACATTCTGTGATTTATTCTGGTACTTTTATCTTGCTTTATTGTTTTTTCCTTCAGTGGACGACTGCTTGCTTTTTCTTGGCAGAACTTTACAAATTACCACTTGCATTTTAGCAGTTTATTTTCTCTCTTCAGTACCTTCCACAGAGCACTCTTGCTATCTACTTAAGGTCCTGGTAGATCTTGCTGAGGAGTTTTATATATGTTTCTTACTTTTTATTTCAGGCATGTTTGACAGAGAAAACAAAGGGGGTGTGAACTTCAATGAATTCACAGGAGTTTGGAAATACGTCACAGACTGGCAGAATGTCTTTCGAACGTATGACAGAGACAATTCCGGAATGATTGACAAAAATGAACTAAAGCAAGCACTAACAGGTTTTGGTAATTCATTAGTAATTACAGTTTTTATGACTGGGTTATGTCATAGAATGAGCTGTGTAGTGGTGCTGTTGCAGAACTGTACTGCTCTGACAAATGTGACTGAAAATGAGGCAGGTGAAGGGCAGCTCTCCTTTTAGGTACAAGGTACCTTTTAACAATGTCCTTGTCATAGGCACATGTTTTTTAAAGTTCTTTCCTTAAACAGTGAAAAACATTCCACGCATTTCCTGACACATCCAGTTCCAGTCTCCTCTGTGACACACTCTGAGAGCATTACCAATGCTTCAGGCAAAGTCTGAACTTAAAGGTTACTTGATAGAACTTGCCACTTTTCAAAACAAGGCCAGCTGTCTGTGCTGTGAGAGCATTCTGATGGCTAAGGAACTTTCATTCAGTCACTTCACTTGTAAGGACTTGAGCTGCAGCCCTAAACTATTCCCTCATTCAAACAGTCACCTTAATCTGTCATTATATTTACTGTGACTCTGTATATAATTATTATAAAGCATGGGTTTTACTGCATGCATTTTAGTTTAATAGAGACGTTTAAGGAAAAAAATCATTGTAACTTCTGTTTTCTGGTTTTGTTACACATGCCTGCTAAACAACCTTGTTCTTTTTATAGAAGGACTGCAGTAATTGAAACCTTTTAAAGTATTTCTCTTCTTCCAAGGTTACCGACTGTCTGATCAATTCTACGATATCCTTATTCGGAAATTTGACAGACAAGGAAGAGGACAAGTTGCTTTTGATGATTTTATTCAGTGCTGTGTTGTTCTACAGGTAAGAAAGGAGATGTACTTTGATGTCTAAAATTAATTAAAAAAATATCTTTTCTGAAGCTTTTCTGGTTCTCACCTTAACAGTGGATCTAGAACTTGCTTTTATTTATAACAGGTCATTTGAACTAAATATATGACAAGTGCTAGAAACATCTTCATGTATTGGTCTTCATTAGTAATTCCTTTGCATCTCCAGTAAATTTGATATAATGAGTGAGGGATAAAAAAGTGTAAAATAGTATCAATGTTTTACAATGTCTGTTAGTTTAATACAGACTTCAGAGCTATTCCTGCAGGGAAAATGGTAGAAGTACAGGAAAAAACCTCCCAACCTTTCAGTAACACAGAGAGCAAGAGAGAGGGAACATGGAAGGCAGGCAGTTCCCTGTAAAAGTAGCATCTCTGTTAGACTCATCAGTCACCTTTGTATTCTTTTTTATTGTATTTGATATAAGATAATTATAATTAGTTACAGTCTTGAACTCTGCTAAAAAGGGCTTTGAAATGGAGTATATCACTCAGCTGATGTTAACGAAACCGTGCTGGGTCCTTTGTCTGTATTGCCTGGCATCTCTTGGGTTATACAGAGACAGCTCAGATAGCAATGCCACACAAAGCATATTTGCCTAGAACATGAGATATGCACAAGGTATGCACTGGATTCTCTTTCCACATGACTCGGATGTTGCATTGTTCTTCCCCCTGCTTTAAAGACAGTTATAAAAAGCTCTCTGGTCTATAAAGAAGTGCCTAGGTAGCCTCAGGTATTGCATCATTATTGCAGTGAGCTGTCTTTGTGTATTAGACTGTAAAATGGCTACAGGGGGGAATGAACAGAAAGGGTTCATAAAGCTGTAGAAGCCCAGGTACCAAGGGGACTATGTGGCAGTCTGAACCTTCCCCCAGTACAAAAATGTCCATTATTTTTTTCTCTCCTCTGCAGAGGCTGACCGATGTGTTCCGAAGGTATGATACTGATCAGGATGGCTGGATTCAGGTGTCCTACGAGCAGTATCTTTCCATGGTCTTCAGCATCGTATGACACCGATAACCAGGAATCGCACACTGGCATTACACAGACTGGAGTTGCCAAATCATCCTCTACTGAACAAGATAACTGATGTATTATAATGGATGTAACATCACATTCTTAAATTTTGTATGTTGGTAATCACCGTCAGAATCTGTACTTGAGTTGGTTTTTATTTTGTATTATTGTATGATATGACCATCTCTGCTTACTGTAGCACAGAATCTAGATTTAACTGGTATAATGTTAAACATTACCTCTTACACATATCATGCATGGGAAAAATGACTCTTTAGAAATGCCAAATTAAAATAATGCTTGTTAGTTTATATCAGTTGAAAGCCAGAAGTTGCACAACATGTTTTGCATGTGCCTTACTTTTATAAGAGTTTAATGTATTAATTTTTAATACAGAATTTAAAATTAAGTAAAAATACTAGGTCAACTTTCAGTCTATATCACTTTTGTACAGCTTAATGGGAATGGTGATTTTATTTCTGTATTCTTCTCTTCTACGATTCAGGGATCTCTCCAGTTGGGTGGCCTTTTTAAATTTCATTTTCTAGCTGCCTCCTTTTTTCAGGATATCCATGGGATGGCTTCAAATACAACTTCTTCACACCTGTGAAGAAGGTCTTACTGCATCTCCCTTGATAAGTTCCCACAAAAATGAACTCTGGATACAACTCCCTTTGCTTACTTGTCTCATTTAACATCGGAAGTCTTCCTTTTTGTGCTGGAGCAATTATTTGAAGTGGCCTTGAAGTGACAGTCAGACATTCTCATAACTTTACATCTCACCATTTACAGCAAATGAGAGAGAGTAGAAAAATTCAAGCAAGACAATGACTGATTCCTGTTACATGCCATCTCTTGCAATAACTCTGAAGCAACCAAAAAAAAGAGTTACTTCCAGATGACCCTGAGATTGGCTCAGATGGTCAGAGAATGGTACAAATAACAACAAGGTCACACCTTCAATCCCTGTATGGTCCATTCTCTGAAGAGCTGACTTGGTGATCCTTGTGGACTCTTTCCAAATTAGATTGTTCTGTGATTCTGCATCTCACCCACAGTAGGGTGTCTGGTGTCAGGGTAAAGGCAGGGTAAAGGCTGCAAAGTGGCAACTATGCGACTGTTATCGAATATCTGTCATGCAGAAAAGCTGCTACTATTTGTCAAGTGATAATCGGACCCTTTGTGACAGCTCAGCAACACTCTGACTGCTCTTTTGGTGTAAAATACGTGGGGAAAAACCAATGGCCCCCATAGCATGAGACAAGGAGTGCTCCCAAAGCACTTTGGGTGTCATCACCCAAAAGGCAAGGAACTGGTCTTGGGTGAGGAGGGAGATCAGGAATAACACCCACTGTCGGAAGCCACCTCATTCAACAGCTATGAAAGTTAACTTACGTTGAAGAAAACAAGGGAAAAAGATTTCCACAAGTTACTCTTTGAACCTTCCCTCCCTAAAAGGCTGAGATAATAACTATATATGTCCTCTCCAGAAACAAACCAGAAGAACCCCAAATTTCTGAGCTCAAAAGAGCTGCCCTGTTTTTTTTCACACTGAGGAATCTGTCCCTTTGGATCATACACCCACATAAAATCCAGTAATTCTGGGAAGCATTTTGCGGAGTATTAGCAAGTCCAAGGTACAAACTAAAAAGCTGGAATCTGAGAAACTTCCCATGTTGTCTCCCCTGAAGGATGTCTCCATGTCCAGTTGGCCCTGTTGTATTTCACTGTCCTTGGTGCAGAACAGCTGGCTTCAGCACTTCCTAAAGGAGCATAACTGATGCAGAGAATCATCAAGGTGGCTCTGGTTTGGAACAACTCTTGTCCCAGTGGGAAACATACTTCTAAATTGTCAAAGCAGGTACACCACAGACCAAGACACTGGCTAAAAGTAGACCATTTATCCCGAATCCAAGACATGTTCCTGTCTGGGTTTTTGTCACTGGCTTTTTAAGGAAATTGGAAATTTGCTCCAAGGGCTCAGTTGCATTCTGAAAACTATTGCCTCCATGCCAAAGCCTGTGATGTAGCTGCTTTGGTGCTGATAGGTGCCAAGTATCCAGTGCTGCTCTGTAGGCTATCAAGACCTACTTTGTGAAGTTGTTTCTTGAAGAAGGTTGGAGTCTAGACAGAGTTCTGCTCCAATTACATACGACATAGGAGCAAGATAGGGCAAAGGGTTTTCTTGGGATTAAGAAGTACTCAGCACTCTAGAGTTCCGGAAAGCTTTAGTAAATCAATGCTTAATTTGATAACTACTTAATTGGATAACTACTCCAACTCCATTTCAAAATGCAAGAACTGTTTCCCTAATGCAGGACTCTGCACAACAACAAAGGAGGGACAATAACTTGCTCAGAAGGAAAAAGAACAAAACATGTAGGTGGAAAGAGCATCTAAGTTGGGTGGAGGTCATCCAGCTGCTGTATGCCACTAGGGTATACAGTGATGGCAGTAAAATCCAGAAGAGAGTGACAAATGGGAAAAAGAGTTCTCTGCAGCAACCTCAAATGAAAAGGTTTTAGCTTGAATTGACGGAGTTGCAGCAGTAACATTTTCTAGCATTCTTTTATACAGTTTCAAAATTTTAGTTGCACTACACTTTCTGTGAGAAAAAACTATGGTAGTAACATTTGTGTAAATAACTTTTTAAATATTAATCTGGTAAATTTTAAATAATAACTGATCAAGCCTACGGACTTTTACATCAAAACTCTGTCAGACACCTGTGGTAGAAAAAACAATTTTCCCTTTTAAGCAAGAAGGTTGACTATGTAATTCAGAGGATAGAAGCATACAGCACAACTACAAGGTGTGTGACATTATAGACCACTCCAACACTTCAGTAAGTATGAGCACTGAAGGATACAGTGAACAGGACTGTAAAAGGAAAGTGGATCTATTCAGATGCAGAAACAAAATAATGACAGAAGGAAAATATTAGGGAATTGAGTTTACAAGCTCAATAATAAATTGTTTTGTTGAGTTTTTATTAAAATTTACATAACAAGATCCAAAATTTTTTATGACAGCTCATGAAGACTAACTCTGTTTCAGCACAAGTATTTAATGCACAGAGACACAGTTCTGGCATGGGTGAGAAGAAAAATGATAGTCCACAATGCAGCAGTGAAAAGGAAAACAGACACTCAGGAGTAAACTGTCTCACTTTACTTCCTTTCTTCAGCTCCATGTAAGCTGGTTTTAATTACATAAAGCAGATATCTAAAGCCAGGCGCTCATGAGCATGTGGCTCTGATACACATCATGAACTGGTAAGTATTACTCAGTTAGTATGACATTTTGTTTATTTATTTTTTTCTGTTGTTTTACCTGATTGCCTTATGGGTTCTATTTCTTAATATGCTTTTGCTAGTAGAAAGAATCAAGAATTTTTATTTTAGGTCCATCCACCAAATGAGTTTTTAAGACAATTTATAATTATTTCATTTTGAACAACATGATTAAAAAAATCTGCATATATTTCACACCATTTCTTCCTCTACAAAAATGAAACTAATATGCCCCATTACATACCAGTCCTCTAGTATAGATTACATGTTCCCCATATAACATCACATTAAGACAGAGAATACCTTTGCTGTGACATTTTCCTTTCTCTGTCTAAACAGAAATATAGTGTATCAATTTCTAAAAATACACTATTTATAAAGCCTCAAATTAATGGAACTGGCCTTACATTTGTGTGAAGAAAAGTAAACCTGTATTTTCAATGAATGTGCTTCCTAAGTAGGTAACAGAAAAGTAAACCTTCCCTTCTCTTCTGAATTGAGAAGGGTATTAAAAGGATTATTAGCTTTTTGCTGACAGAGTAATTTTAATGTATCTTCAAAAAATAACAAAATTTTTTTTCTGTAATATACTAAGATATAACAAATACTTTACAAAAAGCCTAAACAAAATAGTATGTTCACCCATTATGTGCAAGTTCCTGTCCCAGCTATATTTTACATGTTAAAAACTTAAACCCTACCTCCCCTTTACCTTTCTCAAGCCAGTCAAACAGAGAGTAAAATACAGTGTCTTTCCTGAAAGCCAGGTGATGGAAATTCTCAAATCTCTTCATCTGTTTCCAGTTCAGCTGTTGTTGCTCCTTAATCTTTCTCTCTAGTCTCTATTAGCACATTGACGAATGTCTGAATATTTATTTCTGGAAAGGGAGATAAAGATATTTAGAGTTACTTCTATCTCATATTATTTCCATGATACAGCATACAGAATGTGAAAAGTTTTACTTTTTCTTTTAAAAAGTTTTTTTAAAGTTTTACTTTATTCATATAAGTAAATATGAATGGAAGTTTTACTATTAAGTAGCTACCTAATTCATTAACTAATTCTAGTACCAGATGTATAGTTTGCATTTGTCCAAACTCATGCCCAATGACAGCTATGCAGTAGCATACTCCCACTTCTCTTTAAATCCCTCTCATAATCTACTTCCAAAGGAGAAACTCTCATTTTGAATATTATATCACTATTCTCAACATTAATGACTATTTCTACAGTAACTGGAAAAAAGAAATTGACACATAATGAACCAGCTCTTTGATAACATTTCTCCTGTTGTCCCAATGGATTTTGATTCATTTGGATTATCTCTTATAATGCCATCCAGGTTTGGTTCTGCATGCATTCCAATATTTTTTAATTTATGCCAACACATTCCCCTCCCATCATTGCAAACCTACCAGTACAACTCATGATACAAACTGCTAGTTAAAAAGATGGCCTAGGACAAACTTTTCACTTCAGGAAATTTCTGCGCTATCAGAATCTCCTCCCACTCACTGCTCCATCTAGTTGCCAGGAGGCACAGTGTCCTCAGAGAGGCAACAATGCCTTTCTTCAGCTGACACAGACATGAGCAAAATGAGCTCAACTCCCCTGAACAGCTTTCATCCTATTCCTGTAATCTGCAATCTCTGCTAATGTTAAAGTAACCATGCTGATGTGACTCATTTCACATGATGCAAACTAATCACAATCTTACTTTGAAGTGCTGGATAATACGGAGCCAACTGTTTGAGCATCCTGGTCATTGTAGGTACATCCTTTCCTAGTAGTCTGTTCACAGTGTTGGGAGCAAGACCAGCATCAACTCCATCAAATATCTCTTCTGAGTTTCGGAACTGCTGGTGATCTTGGTACGAACCACTTCCACAAAACGAGTCCTGATGTGAACTCCAGTCTCTGTGGTAGCCTGATTTCTGATACCTGAATTCTTGACACCTAGATTCCTGCTTCCACCTAGATTCCTGCTTCCACTCATTCCACCTAGTGTCCTGGTGCCACCTGGAGCCACCTCTTTCTGAAACACCAGAATTTGCCAAAGACGTACAAGTATTCACAGACTCACTGTTCGTGTAACAGGAATAGTTTTGTGAAGCATAGTTTGTAGAGTATCTTGCAGATGAAGGATATGAGGCAGAAGAATTGGGATAGGGTAATTCTTGGTCACTTAAATGCCTTGAATCTTGTTGATCCCTCCATTTTGTATTTTCCCTGCCAAAGGAGAGTCTGTTATCAAGGAGCTCACTTCCTTGCACATCACTGGATATGTATTCTGCTGAATACTCCTTCACTGGGCCGGCTGTGTATGAAGAGGCTCCAGCAACCGACACAGAGTTTCTGAGCTGTCTCAGCCATTCACT